GTGAAACGATTAAACCTCTTGTTTTATAATTTTGCAAGGTTGGACCGGCTTAATGTTTCATTTCTCGGTGCAGCAACGCCTCTACCGGCGTGGAAGCTCGATTTTCGGGGACTAGGCTTGTCTAAAGGTTGCCTGTGCTGCTGCTTCCTTTTGACGTTTCAATGAATTCGTCGAATTTTCTTATTAGAATTGTGATTTTTGTATGATTTTTAATGAAGTTCATTTGAAGATCGTTTGTTAAATAATACTCGATATTGTGAAATAATGATTAAAGCAGGGTTTAAGTTGCTGCCACGAAAAATAGACGTTTTTGGATTGTGTAGACAACTTACGGATAAGTAGAGAAAGTGTGCGCTAGTCAGACAAGATTCCCAAGTTGTGTTCAGCGGAATATGCACCAGACCGAATTTCGAATTTCATTTTCCCAAAATCATTTTATTGGTAAATTAAATTGTTTATTTGAAAGTTGATATAAGAAAATACTTTTGATATTATTGTATTAATGGACTACACAGAATTTATATTGTATGAATCATGATAAATGGTACTGAAGAGTACAATAATGGCAGAAGAGATTTTGCTTCGGTTTTACTTGTAAATTCATAAAGTTCCGTCTGCGTAGGTGGAATCAGCTGTCCTTTACGATTCTGTGTTCCTGTTTTACAACGCGCTGGAAGCCCTGAACGCGAGGAACAAGGACTGCGAGGAGCCTGTAACTATTGACCCAGTACCGCTCTCTTGTGAAGATATAGCGAAATACAACGCAGGTCCCAACATTACCAACCTTATGCGCGAGGTAAAGCCCCATTGACTTTTCTCCGGACTTGGGAAGCGCGAGCTTAACAACTTCGTAAGCTGCGCGTGACGAAAGTTACCGACTACATGCGATTCAGCGGAGAATAAACTTTGAGCAATAATAAAACTGGAATCTTTAACATTACATTTTATTCGATACATTTACACCTTTAATTAACATCTGCATACTAAAATGAAACGATTTAAAAATAAAATCACAGAATTCATGAATTTTTTCACAATAGTTTGTCTGCTTTTTTTTATATATATATTGATTTAAAATACTAATTCACTACAAAGTTTGCATTTAGGATTTCGTATAATATAATATGTAATAATGTTCATATATACAGTACAATGTATTATAATATTCGCGATGCATACTGCAACACGCATAATAATGTTATAGTTATACACTGTGTCACATTTGCACGTTTCATTCGGTAAATTACATATTATGCTGGCGAATAGAAATTGTAATAGAATAAAGTACAATGGCTCGTAATTTCTACAGTTGTCGAAGCATGGTAAAATGACTGGTCCGATAAAGTTCGACGAAAATGGACGTCGCACATATTTCAACGTTCGCACCATGGACGTGAGGCAAGAAAATAGCGTTCAAACCGGATATTGGGATCCAGATGGGCTTCATAGGATTGGCTCTGAAGAAGATCGCGAAAAATATTTATACAAATCTATCGAACAGAAGAAGTTCATAATCAGTACCAAAGTGGTATGTGTTTCTAATAGTTACAGTTAAAGTTTCAATTTACATTTGACGTATTTGAGTAATGCATTCTACAAATATTACATTTCTAATATTAACATGCAAGCAATTTAATGCAGAAAGTATTATTACACTCCTAGAGTACATTGTTCCACAGTAGTGGTGAATATTTAGACTTTAAGTAACTATTAAATCAATACTTATAATTAACATCGTATGTCATTGAGTTTCAATGTGAAATTCTTTCTTTTTGCTATTTAATATATATCTGTTTAACAATCGATTTCAATATTTTGATAAAGTAACATTCACAGCTACCATATTTTACAGAAATTAAAAGTTTTTTTATGCTTGTAATGTTTTATGAACTATCAATAGTTATAGAATAAAATAACTTGGCGTTATTCATCAGGGTTCACCATACACAATGGAAGTCACAGACAGCGCAACTCGAGGTATCCTGATCGATCAAACTCGTTACGAGGGCTTCTGTATCGATCTAATCGACGAAATTGCCAAGCTGTTGAATTTTAAATACGAATTTGAATTAGTACCTGACGGGAACTACGGTACATACAATCCAGAAACAAAACAATGGAACGGTCTTATCAGACGTTTACTGGATCGCGTACGTACCACGTTCAAAACCAAACGGAATTTAATTAAACGAGTTGTTTAACCAATGTCAACCACTATCATTACCCTTCCAAATGTACAGGAATTTAATTAGCTTTTAATTACTCTATTCCAGTCGGACTTTTGATTCAGCGTCTAATCATAACGACACTTATTACCGCTAATTCTCAATTGAGAGAAGCTAAAAACGTACAAAGTAAACAGTCTACCTAACGTACGTTACTGCACTTCAACAAATAGTAATAACCACATTCGATGTAGTCAACTAAAATTTCAATTCCAATTGATTCTCAAAATTTAATATTTTCATTTCAACGTCACGTTCACTCCACTAACGGTCAAAATTAACAGCATGAAATATTTGATAATCCGCAAACATTTAACATTAAAACTACCGGACGAGTCAAATTGACCCACTTCGTAATTGTTATTTTGCAAGTATTCAAACTGTGAAGGCGATTTTGCGAAAGATTTTCAATTAAATTCGTATATTTGCGGATATATGAGAATATGCAGAAAATCCTTCGAATCCCAATAAACGTATTGATCTACTTTATGTGAAAAATTTGGATACGAGTCACTCTAATTGCTCGGTAGTTTAAACGTTAAATCAAAACTCAACGTAATCAGATGCAGATCTTGTTTTCAGGATGCTGATCTCGCGATTTGCGACCTAACAATCACCTACGAGCGTGAAAGCGCGGTCGATTTCACGATGCCGTTCATGAATCTAGGTACGCCGTCCATCTTCCCGTCCGTTGTTACGCCCAATTCTTTCCAGCGTGTTACGCTTTAAACGTTGCTATCTGAATCCCGTTGTGTCCGCGGCAGGTATCAGCATTTTATTCGGCAAGCCCGAGGAGAAGGAGCCCGACCTCTTCTCGTTCCTGTCGCCGTTGTCTACCGACGTCTGGATTTACATGGCGACTGCTTTCTTAGCAGTTTCGATAATGCTGTTCCTCCAGGCTAGGTAAGACGGCAGGAAAAATAATAAGTAAGCTGAAAGTTCCCGTCCGGGGGAAGCTTCCTTTCCCGAGCTAGTTAAACACTTGATCCTGGTGAATCAGGAAGTTACGATAACGTGACCGCTCGCGGGTATGCATCCCCGTTTAATGCGATGGCTACGTTTATGTCCTCCGATCTGCACATTAAGGGGATGACGTTACATTTTCTTCATTAAAAACTTGTGCACCGAACAGTCAATTCGAATGTGGGTTAAATCGGAGAGAGATGGCTCACTGTTCTTTTAAAGAGGTATTACATGTTAAATGTCATTGATATCTAACAAAACAAAATATATTTATGAAGGTAAATTACATATAAGTCCAATAGGTAAATAGGCTTCTGCGCAAGATTCATTGCACTATTAAAAATAATTGGAAATGTAGATATTTGACAATTTAAATGAAGTCAAGTCGATTTACTTTTCTGTAGTAAAAAATTCGAGTTTTGTGTCGGATAATAATGATTATTGTATCTTTTGTATTTAGAATGAAGAACGAGGAAGCTTATTGCTATATAATTAAATGCTGTTCATTATTTTTCATGTTTAAGAGGACTAAATGTTATTTATGCAACGTTCTGAAGTTTCACGTAGATATATCTTTCCGGTAGTGACGTTAAAAGTTGCTTAAACGAGAATATTCTAAACAGATTGCTTCAATGCGTTCTTCTGATCGACTCAACGCAGAATAATGTCGTAAACTTTAGCAATAAATTTACCAGTAGTTTCAACATAGACCAGTTTTCTGCGGCATAAGCTCTAGAGAATCAACGTGACGTAAGCCAGAGAAGTTGAAAAATTGTATTACTTCCACGTACCCGGAACGAACATTCTGCTATCCAATACCATGCTTCAAGCATTAAATTGTTAAAACCGGGAGAAGCGCATTTATGTTGGATGAATCCTTCGAAACTTGTATACATACATCAAACGTGATGTAAACCAATTTTTAGACCTAATTTATGAAAGAATCAACTGAATAGATAGCTAGTAAACCAATCAATAATTTTACCCAGTGAAAAAGAAAGTAAAATATCGAAGTTGCCTATGCTCTTATCTATTGAATTTTATTATGTTTCATTCACGTGCAAATACTCTTGTTTGTAATTCTATGCATCTAGAAAAATATTATATAAACCTGAAATTCCATTGTAAATGTTCCAATTGATTTTCAAATAATCTGATCTGAACCGTTCATAAAATTTCCAATTTCTTGTCTTTATTTCTTATTTCAAATCAGATATGTGTAATGCTTTTAACTGACGATTTTCGAGTAGCCATGTGTTACGAACGTTCTATATACACATGCATTATACTGAGTACTTTGCACGCTTCTTTGCAGAATGGCTCCAGGCGAATGGGACAATCCGCACCCGTGCAATCCGGATCCGGAGGAATTGGAAAACAATTTCAACTTAAATAACTCGATGTGGCTCACCGTCGGCTCTGTCATGCAACAGGGCTCCGATATACTTCCCAAGTAAGTTTTCAGCGAACCTAACAGCGCACCTACGTGGCCGCAACCCGCCATACGCCCGTGCAAAGCCCCATGATAATTGAGGGACGGAAACCGCAGTGCAACTGCGACCCTGCATTGCTTGTGGAATCGTGGCCCTTAAATCGAGCGTTTTAACCACTTCGAGGTAACCAAATTCCCTTTACGCTCAGTAAATCACGATTATCCAGCTTTCGATAAAGCATTATAAATAATCTATCGAAGTTCTGACATGATTATTGCTCGCATGCCGAATTCGAAAATTAAAAGTTAAA